TTTATTTATTTGTTTTATTTATTTTTTTATTTTTATTTTTATTCCTCGTATATTTTTTGTAAATATTTCGTATATATTTATCTTGTTTCACAATGAGCATTCCTTTGTCTATCTGCATTGTTTACTGTCTGTTAAGAAGCCCTCCTATCCTTCACTCATTGCCTGTATTAATTGCACCTGTTTGAACTCATTACCTGTATAATATACAGACCAGGTTGCATAGCAACGCTGGTGCTCTTCCTAAATCTGCAGACAACAACTAACTGTTTATAAAGACGTATGTAGGAGGGTAATGTCTAGGTCAAAAGGTCAGGATGTTGTACTTAGTGTCACAGATCAAAATCTGCCTGGCGACAAGATCACCAAATGAGGGGTCAGAACGAGGTCAAGAAACCAATCAAGGCATGAGGATGAAGGACAATGTGGATGACATCAGATCATTTGCATGACTCTTATTATAACTTCTCTATGCAGAGGAAACTCGTGGTTCCGGCTTCCTGCAGAAGCTATGCACTATACTTCTGTGTGATAGGGCTTCAGATAGAGACGGAATCCAGAGCTCTGTATTGCTTGTCTTGAACATTTTTGCTTCATCAAGGTTGTAATAAATATTTTAAAGGTTCTTCTGACTTCGACTCTTCCTCAGAAATGAACATGGAGGACGCTTAGGTCCTACAATATCTTACAATTGTATTGATGAGAATCAAGCGATACTGAGGTAGAAACTGTCTGCTGTAACTTCTGTGTAGAGAAACGATGTCTGCATCTCCTTGTGACCAGACAGCCTATTTACATTTTAACAGAGATCTGTTTCGCACCCACACCTAGACCCACATAGCATATCCCAAGTCCTCTGTTCCCAAGTCTGTTCTCTGCACCTCCATCACTGTCTGGTTTGCCTCAGCAACCAAACAGTACAAGTACAGACTTCTTTCTGTAGTCAGGACTGCAGAAAAGGTCACTGGTGCAAGGCTGCCCTTCATGGAGGACCTGTACACCTCACGGGTCAAAAGGAGGGAGGAGAGGATCACTCACATTAATTGAGATTTTGAGGAGATGTAAGAAACTATATTACTCTAAAGTATTAGAGGATAATAAAAATAACATGAGAGGTACTTGGAATGTATTAAATAAATTGATTACAAACAGTTCCAGCAAGAGTAACTACCCTCAATGTTTTATGGATAATGATACAACGGTCAACAGATTGGAGGATGTAGTAGATAGGTTTAATAGTTTTTTTGCGACTGTTGGTCCTGGTTTAGCAAGAAGCATTTGTACAGATGATACATCCGTCACTATAAATAATAATACAATCGAAAGGAACATGAGTTCTATGTTTTTGAAGCCCATAGTTGAAAAAAAAAAATTATAGACATAGTGAATAAATGTGTTAACAAAACATCTAGTGATAGTGATGGTATCAGTATGACAACTGTTAAATTGGTAATTGAGGGGATATGCAAACCATTAACCCATATTTTTAACATGTCGTTTCGACTTGGGCAGTTCCCCAATAATATGAAAATAGCAAAGGTTATTCCACTGTATAAATCTGGTGATAAGCACAACTTCACAAATTATAGACCGGTTTCTCTGTTGTCACAATTGTCAAAAATTCTGGAAAAACTCTTTAATAACAGATTAGATACATTTATTGACAAACATAAAATCCTCTCTGATTGCCAATACGGTTTTAGGTCGAACCGATCGACATCTTTGGCCATTACCGACCTGTGTTGAACTCTCTGG